TCTTGAATATTTATTGACAGTTTATAAACATTTCTCAAACATATACTATTTTTTTGAAAAAATAAAATAACTGAAGCATCAAGAGGCTGCAGTCACACTTAAATCTATATCTAATAACAAACCTAATAATAAAATTACTTTCTTGGTCACTAAAGTCCTAGCAAATTATCTATTTCAGCCAAAATATATATTAAAAAAAAATTGACATAATCAGAGAACTAAACTCCTATTAAATCATACATTACACAATTAAAGCCTTCTTGATCTAGGACTGCATCAAAAGGTCAAGTAATTAATTAATTATTTTCAAGAAAATGTTGATCTAATAACAGTGTTATTGAAATTTTACTGCTCTGGTTTCTTCTAACTCTACATCAACATGGATTTGCATGGTCCATAAATTAATAATCTAAAATATCTTCGTGACTATACATTGAAACAAAAATTGGAGAGACAGCACGATCATTGGCTTCTTATATATGGTCTTCATAGCGAGATATTATCATTGACTTCTTATATATGGTCTTCATAACTAGATATTCATCAACACAACTTATTGATTGACGTACAAGTTTGACACCAATAGCATAGTCCAAGCTCGTGATTTCGAGCTGATAATCTCGATCATGAGTCCCTTTGTCACATCATAGGAAATTGATGATTCCCATGTCATATTGACCCTTAACTTAGTTTTCTGTGGTGGAACATCCTTCATACCTAATCAAAATCAAACAGCATGCTTCCAAATCTCTTAAAAGTCTATGTACATATATGTGCTGTCTAAGGAAGAAGCCAATCGAATCTAGCTGTATCCAAACTTGTCTCATTGATGCAGAGATATATAGTTAGGTCAAGATTTCGAGCTCCGTCAATAGATTTTCCAGTTTATCTTAACCTACCTATAATCTCTACAAATAATCGTGCATCCATGTGACCAAGTTGAAAGATCTTGATCTTCAGGCATTGGAATTAAATCATTTTCTTTTCCTTTTTTAATAATGAAAGGGCAAATGTGAAGCGGCTTACTGTTTATTGTCATCATGCG